CGGGGAGTGTATGTGCCTTATTGGGGCATAGTGGGAGAGATGAGGCGGCGGCCAGGTGGAGGGCGCGCCCCCCAAGCCCAATCTGAATTGGGTGGGGGCCAACCCCCCTTTCCTTCCTCCTTCTCTCCTAGTCCAACTAAGGAAGGGGAGGGGGGGAATCCTACTCCCGGTGGGAGGAGAACTCCTCCAGGGCGCGCCATAGAGGGCCGGCCCTCCGCCCTCCTCCACTCCTTTATATACGGGGGAGGGGGGCACCCCATAGACACACAAGTTGACATTGTTTAGTCGTGTGCGGTGCCCCCTCTACAGTTACACACCTCGGTCATATTGTCGTAGTGCTTAGGCGAAGCCCTGCGCTGGTAACTTCATCATCACCGTCACCACATCGTCATGCTAACGAAACTCTCCCTCGGCCTCAACTGGATCAAGAGTACGAGGGACGTCCCCGAGCTGAACGTGTGCTGAATGCGGAGGTGCCGTACGTTCGGTGCTTGGATCAGTTGGATCGCAAAGACGTTCGACTACATCAACCGCGTTAACTAAACGCTTCCGCTTTTTGTCTACGAGGGTACGTGGACACACTCTCCTCTCTTGTTGCTATGCATCACATAGATAGATTACCGCGTTCCCCAACAATACCTTGTGGGCATTTTGTCGAACACCTTGCGGGCCCCGAGCGGCAGTGGGCGGCCGGGCGCTGTTCGTTGAACGACTGCCGCATGCGAGGGGCGACGACGACTAGAGAGAGACGGAGGGAGCAGCGGCGGTGCGGGGGATAGGCCAGGGAAGCGCTGGAATGGTCGCCGGAAGAAATGGGTGGCGCGAGCGGCTGCGGCGCCGCGGCGGCATGGGGTAGGTGGAGTTGCGAGCGGGCGCTCGAGTGTCCAGCACGCGGGAGCGGGTGCAGCAAATAAACGACGCGCGATGGCGTTTTCACCCGCACGCTAAACTATTTATGCCGCGCATGCGGTTTTTGCGCCTCCGCTCGAGCACCCGAAGCGGTAGCGCACGCGCAAAAAGGACTAATTTTTCAGCGCGGCGCTTGTTTAGCGCGTTTGTTGATGTTGCTCTAAGCTCCCTAGCTTTAAAGCGCCTACGTTCAATTGAGGTCTCCAACTAAGATTGGACCACCCGATTTTGACCGGGTAAACAATTTCTCAAAGCTTTCCCATTAGTTTTGTTATACTACACACTATGCTCCTTAATTTTTGAGGTCTCACAATTAATTGATGTCTGCAATTACAATTAATTCAACTCGATTTTGACCTGGTCAACAATACTAAGCTCCCTAAAATTTTAATTCCTCACAATAAATTGAGGTCTCCAATTGAAGTTGATTATCAAATAACACATAATCACACCGTCAAGAAACTCCACCTAAACACCCAATTATTAAAGATACACCGTCTTCCCACGCGCCACATCAAATAACAAACAAAAATTATAAAATCCCAACAAACTCCAATTACACAGCGGAGAACGCTCGACCCTTATGTATAGTATACGATGTTACGTGGGCAGGCGGACTGATCGTTGGGTTTTGAAATGTGTGGACTGAGCAACGACATGCCTGGAGGTTCAATGAGGATTAGTGGATTCAACCAATCCCCGGTTAGCTGCCGTCGGGCTCTGCACCTCACAGTACTTTAGGTGTCAGTTCCTTGTTGCACCTTTTTCGCCTCGATACCAAGGTATCGGTCTAGTCGGATCGTTGACCCTACTTTGGCGTGATCGGTTCCCTTAACGGTAAGATCCCCTGAGCTATTTTACATTTATGGGAATCAAAATGTTTCAATGGCAGTAACCCTCGCTGATACTCCTTCCGTCCAGAAATACTTGTCCTAGAAATGGATATATCTAGACTTATTTTAGTTATAGATACACATATTTTATGCATTTCGAGGACAAATATTTTCGAACGGAGGGAGTATTAGTGATATCATGTTTCGGCGGCCTTTTGGACCGGTGGAGGTTGTTGCCTTGCACAGATTGGTCTCGGACTTGGAGGGATTCATGTCAATGATGCATCATGATTTAGTTTCCTGGTGACTATAATCCTTTGGATGCTTCTTCGCTAGATCTATATATGTAACTATTTATGGAGGAATCTGGTCCTTAAGAGCTAACTGACATTTGGTCGATTAAGTTGCCCCTCAAAATCAAGATTTTCCTCTACCAATTAGTTCGTGGTCGCCTGCCTACAGGGGTGTAGGTCTTGAAGCAGAACAACCCCGGCGATGGCATATGTCCGTTGTGTGATGTCCTAGAAGAGAACAATCACTTACTTTTCACTTGTGTGACCGCCCAGTTTCTTTGGTGTTGCTTTCCTAAGGTTGTAGGATACAGGGGTATCCTATGAACTTGTTGGATCTTTACAAGATAATTTGGGCTAGCTCAGGCAACACTCGTCACCACCTTTAGGTTGTCTTTGATGTTGTTGCTTGGACACTTTGGCCCATTCACACCAAGCTTGTCCTTGTTTTTTTTAGAATCACTGGGAAGCTCCCCACCTGAATATATTACTCAAAAGGCTGTTGAGGCAGCAAGTACAGAATTACATAGGCACGACGCAACGTGCAGAGAGGTAGAAATGCCACGAGAAGACGTCCTCCTTGTCACTTGTCTCCATGAGACGGTGTGACCATAGATCCAAGTCAGAAATAAGGGACCTGAGGATTATTACAGAATATTGATCAACACTTCTAAACATCATATCATTACGCGCTGCCCAAATCTTCCATAGTAGTGACATGAGAACCAATGACCATGCTTTATGGGAAAGCTGATGGGGCAGTGGTGTATCCCATAACTCAGAGATGTCGGTGATCTGGGGCAAAATACCAATGCGCTGCCATATCCGGTTGGTGAGTGGACAGGTGACGAAGAGGTGCATGGAGTCCTCGGGTAACAGAGCACATCGAGGGAATATGTCGGTGGAGATGATATGCTTGTGCGCGAGGTTGACCCTAGTGTTGAGACGGTCTTTGAAGAGGAGCCAAGCAAAAATTTTGATCTTGCGTGGAGCCTTGGAACACCATATGAGAGGGGCAAGGGGATCTTTGTCAGGCCGACACATGAGAGCGCAGTACGTGTGCTTGGTGGAGAAGTCATAACCTTGATGTAGGAACCTTTGGTCTTCCTCCGTCGAAGTCCTGCAAAATAGCCAAAAGTGAAACAAGCTCTTGTTCTACCACAAGGGAGAGACGATTACGGATGTTAGCATTTATACCGTAATGCAGAATATTAGCTACTTTTACTAGCTCTAGGGTGGAGTGTGAGAAGAGGTGGGGGAAGGTGGTAGCTAGAGGTCTTGGGGTCAACCAAGTGTCGAGCCAAAAGTCTGTGTGTGAACCATTGTTTGTTAATATGAAGGAGATTTTCTGGAGGGAGCCCTAAACCACCATACATTTTGGGTGTACACACATTTTTCCATGCAATAAGGCATTGAGCTCCTGAACAAGAATCCTCTCCCGCCCAAGAGAAGGCCCTACAGAGGGAGTCAATGGTTTTGAGGACCTTTTTAGGGATGTGAAAGACCGACATGAAATAGGTAAGGAGGAAATCTAAAACCGCGGAGATGAGGATGAGACGGTCTCCTTTGTCTAGCAGTTTGGCACGCCAACCAGTCATTAATTTACGAGAGTGTTCTAACAAGGGAGCGAACACATTGGATGGAGGTTTGGTGGGGGCAAGAGGTAGGCCGATGTAAGTTTGAGGGCAGGGGGTGTGGGTGCAGCCCATGGCAAGGGCAATGGCAGAGGCCATGGTGTCATCTGTGTGGAGTGTGGCTAGAGTGGTTTTGGAGAAGTTGATGGCCAGGCCTGTAGCTTGAGCAAAGTTGTTTAGGATTACTTTGAGAGCTGCGGCGGCGACAGGGGAGGCGGCAGCAATGATGAGCGTATCATCGGCGTACTGTAGTACGGTAGGAAGTAAGTGAGAGAAGATGGGGTGGTGGATCGCAACATCTGAGTTCTGGAGGATGAGCTGCTGGAGTAGGTCGGCTACGATGAGAAAATAGTAGGGAGAAGTCGGGTCACCTTGCCTAAGGCCATTCTTGCATTCAATCCAGTTGCCTGGAACACCATTCAGTAGGATGGATACTATTCGTTGCCGATGCCCTACTGACGCCATTTATAAATTGGACAGTTTGTTGCACTAGTGGCGGGTCCTTAGTAAAAAGCTGGATAGTCGTCATCAAGGTTTCACCGTTTCGGTTGGGGGATTTGGCTCTTCGACTCTCCCCTCCGCCTGTCACTTGATCTTGGTTGTATTCATTCGGCCTTTCATTGTGATGTTGCCCATTTGCTTTGGAGCCGATAATTGTCACACATGTGACATGTAGTAACACCGCCCACACGTTTTTTACACTAAAGTTGTTATAAAAAAACAAATCTAAAAAAAAACTGAAACTTATCATCCAAACAAAAGGTTGTCATACTTCACAACTAAATTGCCATCAAAAAGACATGTGAACAGAATTGTTTCGTGCCATAGGTGTGGACATTATCATTTGGATTTGCTTTTGAACCTGTTTTATGATGCAACGTGTGGGCGAAAGGCTTATTTACTTTGTCAAATACAGAACTTCAACTGCTCAAATATGGTATTGACTGAATTTAAATCACACAAGGGCATTTGGTCTAGTGGTATGATTCTCGCTTAGGGTGCGAGAGGTCCCGAGTTCAATTCTCGGAATGCCCCATATTTTTTCCTGTTTTTTTCTTCCTCTGTACTGTTGGACAACGTACACCCCGAACCAACCAACACCACCGTGTACAAGATGGTACTACTCCATTGGAGAAGGCAGTTCTCTGGCTACATTTCTGGAATACGTGGTTCGATCCATCGCCCAAATTCAGAGTTCCAAACAAGAACAAAGACTTATTACTCTATACTGCAGTAGGATAACTAAAGAATCCACCGGCTTAAGGGATCAGATTCAGTTCCTCCTCTGCGCGCGATGGATCCAGCTACACGCCTTGGAATTTACTACCGGTTTTTTACCGCGTCTGGTGCGGCGGCAGATACGGCAGGCCGCGGCGAGCCCGCTTCATGAGGTTGTACTCCACCAGCGGCGCCGCCTCCGGCACGATCTCCCTCACGCCGTCCAGCGCCCCGAACCGCTCCGCCCACGCCGCCAGCCGCGGCGTCCTGGCCGGGTCGATGGTCCGCACGCCGCACATGGCCTCGGACGCGCGCAGCCACCCGATGAACCCGCCGAGCGCCACGTCCACCAGCCCCACGCCGCCCCCGCCGAAGAAGTCCCTGTCCCCGAGCTCCCCCTCGAACGCCTCCAGCACGGCGATGACCTCCCTCGCCGCCCCCGCCCGCTCATCGGCCGTGCTCCCGCCGTAGAGCGGGGACCACGTGGGGAGCAGCTTCTGGTCGACGTAGGCCGCCCAGAACCGGGCGGCGGCGCGGCCGTGCGGGTCGTCGGGTGGGGGCAGGAGGCGCGGGAGGCGCTCCAGGAACGCCTCGTCGATGTACTCCACGATGACCAGCGACTCGGCGACGGGGCGGCCGCCGTGGATGAGCACGGGCACCTTCCCGCCGTGGGCCGGGTTGGAGGCGAGCAGGAGCTGGCTCTTGCCCCGCTCGCCGAACAGGTCCTCCTCCACGTACTCGTAGGGGACGCCCTTGAGGTTCAGCGCGAACCGCGCCCGCAGCGCGAACGGGCTCGTCCAGAACCCCAGCAGCGTCAGCCCCTCCTCCGTGCTGCTGCCGCCGCCTCCCGTGGCTTCCGCCATTGCTGCTGTGCCTGCCGATCGAGCGGTGCGATGATTGAGCCTCGCGGGTGTGTATGGTGGGGTTTTTTAATGGTTGGTCTGGTCTGGTGGATCTGGTGCGACGAATCATGTGGTTGTTCAGATATACTCCTACGTAGCACTTCGATTCGTCATGCGTGACGGTGAGTGTGTGGCCGTATTGTGCAATTGGGATGGTTATCCTATCTCAGATGCCATTTTTGGCGCAATAATACTACACGTACATGATATTCATACAAAGAGTTACAGGGAGGAAACGTGGCCTCGTCTAATTGCCCCCCCTGATTTTCACTAGTGGGCCCGCCCTCCTAATTAAATCGCTGCCAATCACACCCCCTCAGCCCCGTAAACCCCCTGTAATCTCCCCGTACGTCTTGGCGCGACCAAGTGAGCAAACTGGTCATTTCTTGCCATTTTCTTTCGTTTTGACCGCTACTGAAGAATGGACAGACAGATATGCATACTCTCATCAGTCACTCACTCCGAGCTTCCCTCGGTGGTGGCTTGCCGGCGCCGTGAGCACGTAAGGATGAGGCCACGCGGATCCTGTACCAACGATCTTGGTCGATATTCAGAAAATGATTTATGTATAAACTGTTCGCTGTTCATTTCTGTGTGTAATACATTTGCATACTATGGCGGTATACCTGATTGTGTGGGGTCAGATAGAGTACTTGTTCTGTGGGATCGATTAACATTGGAATGCAGAATCGAATATACAGATATAATATACATGAGCAAACACGATACATTATGCTCATTTTTGTTCTTGGTTCCTATCTTTCTGTTTCAATCCAGAACATCCATCTTTGACCAACATTTCCGGTGAAGAAAGGAAAGGGCTCATCTGCTCTTTTTTAACGACCGAAGGCCTTCGAAGATACTCCCTCCGTCCGGAAATACTTGTCATCAAAATGAATAAAAGAGGATGTATATAGATGTATTTTAGTTCTAGATACATCCCTTTTTGTTCATTTTGATGACAAATATTTTCGGACGAAGGGAATATCAACAAACAGAGCAGTATATTTGCTGGAAAAAACCTAAAGTTTTTCCCGAAAAGGTTTGTCTTCTTGTACTTTAATGTCTGGAATAGTTGCTGAATCTCATCGTTGATGTTTATGTTGCTTCCTTTTTCATATTGTATTGGATGATGATCGCCGAATAACTTTGTTGTTCGATATATTGAGTCTGTGTAATATGAAATACTATGATCACGAATCTTACAATGCAAATGAAAATAGTGGCACTACCTTTATGTACGTAGAAGGGGTTGAAATAAGTTACATGGCCAAAACTTGATGTTATGAAGCTAAACAACCAAGTTGCTGTTAATGAAAGTTAATTTGTTGGTCGTTTTTATTTATTTACTAGCTGAACTTTATAATTAATCATATCATAATGATTCTGCTGTGCAATTCCTCCCATTGATTCTAATTATAACTCTAATACTACTAGAATCATATAGTTCATGTTTATCTTGGCACCTATGTGTTGTTGCACTAGCTTATTTTTGTCGGCGAGGTCTGCTATTGGATATATTAAGGTTGTGTAGTATGTAATACTATGATTTGGAATACTATAGTGCGAAGAAAAACAGTGGCACTGCCTTTATTTAAGTAAAAAGTGTTGAACTAACTTGTTCGGTCTGAAACTTAGTGTTATAGAATTGAACTGACAAGAAAATGGTAATGAGACTTAACTAATTTGCTGTTTTAATTCATTTATCTGTTAAACTTCATAAGTAATAATATTAGAACAAACCTTATGTGCAATTATACTGATTGAAGTGGAAAGTTATTCTAGTAATTGCATTTTTGTAAAAACAATTGTCCTGTCATCAACACTGAAAGTGACTTAAAATGTGAAAAGTTTTAAACCACAATGTTTGCACAGAAAGCACAATGTATGGGGCAGCTTCGTTTAAAAACAATGAAAATATGAAAAATTCAGAAGTTGTTGCAAAGAATGTAGAGCTTTGCTTACGTACAACAATTCCACAATGCATTTTGGATGGAAAGTTCAGTGGTCACGTAAGAGATACTTATCCACAAATGGTAATTTTCATTTTTATAGTTTAGAAGTTCCAATTAGAATTTATTTACATTAGAGTATGTACTATGTTTAAAGGTGAGACATTTTGTAACTCAAGAATATAAGCCGATGCATGCTAAAAGAATCCATGAGTGGAATATCAAGAAGGATGATATAGTGAGAGAGGATATTGAATTTACAGATAAAGTCTTCTTGTTGTTAAACCAATCATGCATGCGTTGCACTGAAAGAAGGTCAACTAGATGTTTGCTTGAGAGGGCAAGTAAATCAACATGTATCATAAAAAACCTGGTACTATGTATTATACTTAATTTTAACTAATTGATATTACATTTTTTTTCTTATTTCATATGGTCAATTTATCTAGTTTCGCATAGTATTTTGAAACAATTTTCTGGTCTCAGCAATGTTCATGCAGTACCACAAGGTAAACTTTGTTCTAAGCAACTTTTGTTGTGTCTTTTATTCTATATGGCTTTGATATATTGTTCTCAGTAATGTTCATGCAGTATCACAAGGATGATTTGAAGCAGATTAAGCAGGATAAATGCAAATTTACCTCGATCTCATGCGCCGCTCAACTCCATTGGAGTTTTCTCGCTTAGGGCGAGTGGGGACGACAACAACAGAAGAACACCAGCACTAGCTGTCATGGGTGTCGATGGTTGGAGCCATGAAGTTGCGGCGACCGCCACCAAGACCGTCTTGTACCAGTGACAACAGAGTATATCCACAAGATGACACTGGAAGCAATGACCACGAGGGGAAGAGAGGAGGCATGAAGAAGTTCATACTTCTACGGAGCAAGCTGAGTTGGGTGGCACATTGTATGTGAAATTTACATATAGGATGTTGAGTCGCCCATGGATCCAACCTACACCCCCTAGTTGCAAGCATGTCGTGCCCTTTACAATTACATATACGATGTGGTGTACATACAATTGTATGTCAAAGATAGATATGCAGTTGAGTGGCACATTTGCACAATAAAATACATCCCTATTAAAAAAACCCAAATCACAAAAAATTTGAAAAGGAAAGCAAAAATAGTTTTTTTGGAAAAGAGATTTCATATAATAATAAAATAGATATAGACAATCAGCAACATGAAAATGAGAATGGGTTTGAGGAGGAATGGCCCCCGGACACCTAAGAGCCATGAGCAATGAGTTGTGACCGCTTCATGGGAGCAACTGACTGGAGGTTACCCTCTCCCGGGAACCTCCAAGGATTACTTTTGGTGGCCTCACAGCACACCCAGTGGTCGTCTAGCCGCCGTCACATGTCACGTGTTCGCATTTTCTCTGGATCTTTTATTTTTTCTATACCCTTTTTCAGGTTTCAGATGGTTTTTTTTTTATTTTTTGGCTTTACGGTTTTCACTTTGTTTTCCTTAGATTTTTGAAACTTTTTTGCATGAAAAAAAAATGTGCTTCCACGAGAAGCACAATTGAGCTTCTCGGGAAAGGGGAAAACCAGTACTTCAATGAGAAGCATAGATTTGCTTCTCATGTAAGTACAAATTTGCTTCAGAAGCACATAAAAAGAAGTATGTGTTTCCAAGAAGCAAAATTGTTCTTCTTGAAAAAGGCAAAACATGAAGCACTATTTTGCTTTCGCGAGAAGCATAATTGTGCTTCTCCCGAAAAAAAGCACGCCCTATGCTCCAAAAAAAGAAAGAAAAACCACAGCCGTGCTATTGCTTTCTAGCTCTGCTTTTTTCTTCCTTTTTTGTATTTGTTTTTATTTTGCGCGAACCATTTTTTTTGGTATCCATTTTTGTTTCTGTTTTTTTTTGTTTTAAAGGTTTTACGTTTAAAAAAAATAATAAGATCGTCAAAACCTATTAACATGTAATCTAGTTTTGAAGATCTTGATACGAGAATCCAACAGTGAAGACGGTTCTAGATTTGGACACCCAGGTTATGACAAGTGACTGGCGCCACTTGTCAGCATCTGAGAAGGTACGTTGACCTTTACAATTTAACTGGTGATTTCGCCGCTTGCCCTCCACCCCCCTCTCTCTAAGTGTAAAAAATCGCAGTAAAAAAAGACAACGAAAACGGGTGCCCCTATGCCTCGCTTATAGTGATAATTAGTGAACCCTACCGTCAAGCAGAGCACGAGAGGAGATGGACCAATCCGGCTGCGCAGGAGGCCACAACCTCTTTTTTTGTTTGTTATAATTTTTCATGGTTTTTATTTATTTATTTATTTAATTTTATTTATACTTCCAAATATTCTAAATAAATACATTACGAAAAACACTTTACATAAAACCTTTCAAAAATATGTTAAACAAGCATTTGAAAAATGTTTCTCATGTATACAAAAATGTATAGAAAAAATATACAATATGCGTGAAAAAACTTTAATCTGTATTTAAAAAAAATTTATCAAAGCATTTGAAAAAAGGTTAAACATGTATTTGAAAAATGTTAATAAAGCATTTAAAAAATGTTAAATGTGTATAGAAACAGTGTTGACCATGTATTCAAAGAATGTTAAACTTCTATATGAAAAATGTTAGTCAAGCATGTAAAAAAATGTTAAATATGTGTAGAAAAAATGCTTACCATGTATTAAAAAAGCTAATCTGGTACCAAAAAATGTAATAAATCATTTAAAAATGTTAAACTAGAATAATGTTAAGCAAACACGTGAAAAGGTGTTAAATATGTATAGAGAAAATGTTGACCATGTATTAAAAAAGTTAATCTGGTATAAGAAAAATGTTAATCGATCATTTAATTTTTTTAATGTTTATAAAAAAAGGTTTACTATGGATTAAAAAAATATTAATCTACTATTTTAGAAATGTAATCAATTATTTCATTTTTTAAATGTGTATACAAAAATGTTGACCATGTATTCACTGAATATTAATCTTGTTTTGAGAAAATTTAAACATGTATTAGATATATACC